ATCCACCGTTTAAGCTAAACGGGCTTGATACAACCCTGGCCCCATGCAGTTGTTTCAATTATCAATTATAGTGAAACTATAATTATCATCAACTACGAAATCTATAATTTTTATCGAATACCTTTCTTTTTGATGAAAGGATTAAAAGATCAAAATTGTACGTTATTCGATCAAGACAGAACCGTAAAGTTTTAAATAAGCAACGCGTTTCTTCGAATGCAGTAAAGCCCAGAAATAACCTAGAAGCCGGAGACTACCACAAGGAAAAACATGCGATTGCGCGGTCACCGTTTGCTTCCGAACGGAATGTTAGGTAGCTTTAGCAGTGACTACGAGTATATAGAGGACTACGACATAGTTAATGATAATTATACAGTTATGGAACTTGCGGTTTGCCTCCCCTGTCTACGCCATTCCATGCGCCACGCAAACTGCTTCGGCAAGTATATTTCGACTCGAAGGTAAGAGAAACTGACGGTGTTAGAGAGACGAAAAAATGTTTGCTCTGTGAATCTCCATTATTGCGCCTACATTTTAAAATGTGCGTTAGGTTAAAAAGTAAGAAAGACAAGCGCGACTGATCGATTTTCTCTATAAATATAAATAGCAGGTTATATATCACGTTTATTTGCTAACATCGTCGCCGATTTAATCTGAGTGGATTAAAAAACAAGCATGACCGATGTGTTATTTCTGCAATCCTTCAAAATTACACGGAAAATTTTCTTTCAAAACAATTTATTTTTCAGTAAATCTAGCAAAAATAAATCTAGCATGTTTTTTATTCGAATCTTGAACTTGATTCCAAAAGATCTACAATAAACAAATGCATGTTTTAGTTATATACCTACAATTTTTAATCAAAACGTGGCAACGGCGGAGGATAAATAAAATTTTACAAAAAAAGAAGAACAAAAGATCCTCGGTTTTAAAATCGCATTTTTTCTGCTAAAAGATGGAATTTTCCTTACTCAAAAGTGCAAAAACACTTACCAGAGCCTCTGTGTAGTTCCTCTGTTACTATACTGAGTTGCTGAGTACAAGGTTCGCAATAGACCTTTTCGGCAATTACGTCACAACATAATCGTTTTAAATTTAGAACCAACTTAAATGAGATGGATTTCAAATTTTACTCTTACAAGCCATGTGCGAAAATTGCAAAACATCCTTCGATAAGCAGTGCACGAAAAATAATTTTCATTTTAACTAATAAGTATGGAAATAAGCCATAACGCGGGAACGAGACTCGCATCTTGTCCCCTCAGCCTCGTTCCCGTGTTATTGCATATTTCCACATTTATTGGTCAAAATAAAAAAAAATCATATATGTGTTGAAAAAGGATGTTTTGCATCTTCGCACGTGGCTCGGGGGAGTAAACCTTGAAATCCAATTTAATATTATATTAAAATATTAAAGAATAGCTATATCATAAGATAGTCAATAAAAAGTTAAATTGATGAAACAACTGGACTGCTCCTAAACCGTTCAGTGTTACAATAATAATTACAATACAATTCACTATTCCGCCGCGTGATTCTCTGCCTTGCCTGGGAGATCTAGAGTTGTTTGGGAGAAGATGATTCGACTTGTGTTGAGGGTTAGACATGTTATGTATGAGATCATTGCACTTCACAATTCGACGTTCTTGAAGTGATTGCATCCAGCTTTCGACAATACACTTTCATAATCTTGATTGTCAGAGAAATACTCTTTTTCGTACCTTTTTGATTCTTTCACTCTATCATTAGATTCCATGCCATAACTACTTGTGCCCGATATTCAAGTATGTAGCGGATCGCAGGAATATTAAATCTTTTCACGTCGTTAATGTCTGCACTGTAAATGCTTTTCAACATTATAGTCAGTATTTGTATCCTATGCACTTAAAGATTGTCATCTATCATCCATAAACCAAGTAATTTAAACGAAGAGACCCTTTCCAAGATTGTATAATTGTATATGAGGAGAGGAATTAATGTACAATTCTTACGAAAGTCTAACTTTCCATTTCTTAAGATCTAATTTTTTGTGTTGCGTCAATTAATTTCCCAAACATTTTCTGGTGTACTTCCGATTTATAATCCTGAGATATGGGCACTGACTTTTGAAAGTGTTGTATCGTCCATAAATAGAGTAAGGTCTGTATGCTTCAAAGAACATTTCAAATTATAGCTACCAAAAATATTTGGGGCTAAATCGGAAAAACGACGATAAGCTCACGTTCGTAAGAATAATAATTATAATCATCATAACAATTATATATTAATAATTATAACAACAATTATATTAACAATTATCTTTCTCTATATAATCATGTAAAAAATTTGTCTATTGCTTGTTTGCGTGTTTCAATTTTCCCCAAAAATGCAACTATTATTGTGACTTTCATTGTAACCAATATTTTAACACTTAGGCTACCGTCTCAATGTGACATTACTAGACCGCCTTAGTTCTCCGTCTGGGCCTGAATGCGTTCATCATTGCTTGAATCACAAGTGCTGTCGTTCTGTAAACTATCAAAAAGCTGCAGCCTGCCGCAACAACGACGAGACCAGAAACTGTGAACTACTACACCTTCTGGCAACAGAAAATCCCGAGTATCTTGAAAGAAACGAAAGCTATGACTATTTTATCCTGCTTGAACCAGTTCGTGTATGTCATTCACGTTTGTTTCAATACGCGCGATAATAATCAATTATTGGACTAGGTCGAGCAAAATATCGTGATTTGAACCTCTTCCTTCGACATCGGCAAATAATTGGATCTGCTCGCCACCGACAAATCACGAATTTTTGCAAGAACTGAGTTCAATAATTGTTTTATTATTACTTTTCTCATTTTTTTTTTGGTATTTTCCGCGTTTCTTTCTTCGAGAAAGCACTACAACTCATTTTCCAAAAGTTCCCCAAAGCGAGTAGGTATTATTGCTTACAAAATTGAAGCACGTTAACTGCAGGTAAATTAACTAATCAAATTTGAGAATACAATAAAGGAATGATAAATTTGAGTAATGGAACAATGTGTAAATATGCTTCAACAATATGCTTGAAATAAAAATGATTTTCAATCATTTTTTAATGCCGGAATATTCAGTTTAAGGGGACAAAATTCATCTCATTTTTTTATTCTGTGCTCTAAATGTCGCATGTATAGTAATTCATAGTAGAGTTCACCAAGCCTTTAGCTTTCAATACCACTTGTGCCAGGATGGTTTCAAAATGTTAACAATAGTTACTAAGTAATTATACTAAGACTTCCTGTCTCGACGCTTAAATTTTTCTTCCAAGCCTAGGACTTGTGCCTGCCCTAATTGTGAGGATGATTTGTGTTTAAAAGAAAACTGTTCCTGTACAAGAAGTCATGATGGTAAAAGATCGTGTACTGATACAGGTATAATTTAATTTTAATAAAATACAATTAAAATAATTAAAAATTTGCACCCAGGCATTATTGTACAGCTTTTATCAGTTAAGGTATAGACCATTATCGCATTATGTGCCAATATAACCAAGGAGCAGCGTGGCAGCGTCTTCAAACAACTTAGCTTTAAAATATTCCGTGTAATAACTTCCTAAACTAGACAAAACACTTCTCGACGTTTCGACCTGAGGGCCTTCGTCGGGGGAGTTAGATGAGAGTTATTATTGGACAAGGCACATTGTGCATTTTAGTTTAGATTATAACTGTGGAACGTGAGCTAGCGTGCAGAATTACACTCTATAGTATTCATACACTAAATACTTCCATCTATCTAGCAGAAGCTAAGCATTGAATGAAACATATGCAAGGATTTTTTAAGTTAAATATCCGTAAAAAAATTCGTGTTTCTTTTACAGAATTACGTATTACAACGTTCTTTGCCAGAATAAAATCATAATTATCGGGCAATAATGATTTATAATAATTATCTTCCCCACACAATTCTAACGAGGGATGTGGATTGTGTTGGGAGGTTGCGTTGGGGGGGGGGGCTGCTACTCCTCGCGTAATTAATATTTGTGTTTAATTTAATATTTTTGCTCAACTTGTTATTAGTTGCGATAATTTAACATACCATCCCAGTCGTCTGTTGATAAATCCAGAGAAAAAATAAAACAGATTCTTTACTTATGATGTTCAATGTCCCATCTGATTCTACATCGCAATTGGTTATGTTCGCTAAGTAGTCACATGAGATATGCGCGCGAAACCTGCCCAAATGCCGTCTGAGAAATTCTCTGCTGTTATAGCAGAGGCCGGCACAAACACTGAAAATAATTTAATTTGGTGGCTTTACTTAATGATGATGTCCCTTGTGAAGAGACAAAAGTAAACATTACAACAGTTCTAACTTCTTCCTTGGCGGATTAATAATAAACCCGTGTGTTATACCAAGTTACTCAAAGATACTTTTGAATTCACGACTCTATGTTGTTCTTGTCAAATATAAGATAACTATTATTCATTGGTACATTCTGTTGTTTTTCTTTACTTCTATTTCCTCAGTATCATGACGCTTTAATGTTTCATATGACTCCTTATCGAACAAAACCAATCACGTTGGGGAATTGAAAGTTAAACGAGACTTACCTTTCATGATATTTGACGTTGATTATACGACTGTTGGTTTTGGAGCTAAGGAGTCACTGCCCACCTTAGATTCCAGAGTTGTATTCTGTGTATGTTGTTCCTTCCCTCCTTAAGAATATTGCCATGATTCTCCAGCTTTGAACTTTGATCTGGGCAGGCTTTCCGCGCATATCTCATGTTACTCCATAGCTCCATAACAAACACTCGTAGAATCATCGTCAAACATCAACTTACAGGTAAGTCTCGTTTAATTTTCAATTATGTACGCTTCTAAAACCCATAACAGTTTACTGGATGTATGAACAAAAAGCGAAATTTAAATTACCTTTAGCTTAGACATTGAACCAAGTTTTAGGGACATGAGTATTTTTGGCTATTTTGTAACCCCAAACATAAAAGAGAGTAATTTTTCTTAGTTCCATGCACCAACATGAACCCATTGGGGATAGAAAATGGCACAATACCTGATTCGGCAATCACAGCATCCTCAGTTTATAACAGTATCCATCCACCCTTCTCTGGGAGATTGAATAAAGCAAATTCTCCTTGTTCTTGGGGGCCATCTAGAAGAGAAGGCTCGTGGCTTCAAATTGATTTAGGAAAATTGACAACTGTGTCAGCAATTGCAACTCAGGGATCATGCTATGGTGCAGCGTGGGCGAAGTCCTACTCGGTTACATACAGCAATGATGGCAAAGATTGGACTGCTTATAGAGAGTCAGAAGGGACAAAGGTATTCAAACGCACGAAGCATTATAATTATTTGAATCGATTGATTGTAATATCAAGAAGGGCAACGTTTGCGAGACTTTTAAAATTATTTTTCTGTCCAATTTAAATTTTTTATGGGAGAAACGCGCAAGAGGATATGAATTAGGATGGAATATGACAATAGAAAGCATGCAAATTTACTTGCACGTTGCACATGTTAATGCAAGCACCATTAAATCGGGGTTTATATAAATTTTATTTATTTGTTTGTTCAATTAATTTATATTATGAATTTAAAAAACATTAGAGATAAATTAAAGCCGTAATTTTATTTTCAAAATTTCAAGGTAACTAAACTATTCTTTTTATTTATCTTTGTAGATTTTTGAAAGCAACAGAGACCGAAATTCGATTGTTATCCACACATTTAAAATCCATATCAATGCTCGATACATTCGCGTGTTGCCAAAAACATGGCACGTCGTTCCTGTGATCAGACTCGAGTTGTACGGTTGTCCGCACTAAGTTCGTGTAGTGTGTTTGTTGAATTTTTGCAGCATAGAGAGTGCCTATTTAAGCGTAGAGGATTATACTAATTCCGCTTGGAGATTTTATTTTCACCCGCTTTACTAAAATATGACATGACATAATCATGCAGAAATGTATGTTTGAGCTGGAAGTGCACGGAACAAAATTTTACAAACAAATTTACACCCAGAAAATAAGTTAGCGTATGCATTTTTAATATAGCAGAATTTACAGCATTAATAGAAAAACAAATACGCTTCCGCTCGAGCATAAAATATAGGATTCCGGACAGTGGCCAGATATCGTAAAATTCCGCCCCCTGCTACAGCAAATCAGTTTGCAGGAAAGGCGAGGACACCGCCCGCTGCTAATTGGTAAAAAATAAAAGCCCAAATCCTATGTCATGGACCTTGGACGTTCAATGGGCATGGTGTTTGTACGCTTTCGCAAAATTTGTGAAGAACGCAGTGGCGTGTGGAGACGATAATTGGGGGGGGGAGGCGTATTCATATACTCATATGTTCATGTTGTGAAAGATTAATTTCTTTTCAAATCCACTGTCTTTACAGGTCTGTCAATATAAATATATGAATATGTGCCCCCCCCCAAATTCTCGTCTCCCGTAGGACACTAGAAGAACGTATTTAACAACTTGCTGATTGTTAATCACAAAAGGTTTGACAAAAAGTTTGCATTTCAATAAGAACGTCAGCATTTAACTGTCATTTTGCAAACTATTTAAGAACATAAGTAATTCATTTTGTAGGTACACCTCGTAAGTATATATTACTGCAAGGATTTCGGTCCGTTAAGCCGGGCCTTCATCAGTGCAATAATATTACTTGAATACACATTCACAGGTCACTTAAATATCACGTTAGTCCTAATAAAGTGACATGCGAATGTGTATTTAGATAATTGCACTGATGAAAGCCCGGGTTAACGGACCCTAAGCTTTGCAGTAATCATACTTACGTGGTGTACCTACAAGCTTGATTACTTATCGACTGTCACCATGCAAACGTACAAGAATATTATTTAAGAACACTAATATTGAATCAGATGAAATTATATTAATGGTAATAAAATAATGATGTACATGTTATTTCTTTGTTGTGTCATTATGGGCAGAAGAGAAACATAATATTTTTTATTTCACTGTAATATTATTGGTTATGGCTATAAACACGCGTCAATTATGGTCAAAACATGCGTTGAAATGATAATTATCTCATACATATGATACATTTCTTGGAAGAGCTTTTAATAATTAATGCTTATTATACACAGAAGCATCTTTTTGGATAAGCCAGAAGTATGAAGTCTTTCGTACTTGCTTCTGTTTTTTTCTATCTCGCTCCATTTGCTTATACGCGAATAGAACTTGAAGATTTATATTCTTATGGACCCAGTAATGGCGATACATCGGTACCTTCTAATGATGACGAAAGTTCTGGTCGTGTAAATATTGCATTTTCCTTCCCTTTCTTCGACGATGAACATGACTCCCTGTTTGTAAGTACAGTTTGTATACCTATCGTGGAAAAGTTATATAGCGACCACACACCCTAGTTATATTTCGTTTTTCATGCATGCGCGGTGTTAAGTGATGCTTGTATACTTGGGTCGTTATTATTATACAAAAGTTGACTGCATCATTTGCACTCAATGCTATATTATCTCGCTTTTATATACTTATGCATCTATAAGTTAAAAATTACGTGATTTTAAATTTAAATCTTTTAGTGGTTTTTGTTAAAGTGCAAAGAGATGCTTGTATTTGAATCAATATAGCAGTTATTGGGTGAAAGTGTCAATGACAAGGCAAATAATGAAAGCAATTTGATTCAAAGAATTCGTAATTAACACAGGCGACAAGGCGTTCACTGTCACCTGCACATATTTAATTAGAGATACATGCATTTAGCAACACACGCCATTTAAAACCAAGCAAAAAATTTCCTCTGCTGCTAGACGAATGCTTAAAATATTATGTAATGCCTGAAAAGCGATGGTTTATAACATGTATACCAGGCTCATATTTACCGTCATATTTGTAAAAATGAAATTACATTATAAACTGCATCCTAACAGTAAACAATGAACGAATAAAACACACACCTGTCTTTTAAAACACTTCTAAGCTTAGAGATTAAGAACCACTTATACTCTTGAGCAGTAATTACTTCATCCATTTTTTTATTTTTATTCCTCACTTTTATCAACATTTTATTTTGCACAAAATTTTTTAAAAATATTTTCGAAATCACAGCTAATTGCTAGCGTTTTGATTCAAGTACAAACTTTTATTGTCTTAGCCAATCAGGAAGTTGTTGATTACCGGTCTTTACAGGTGTAAACGGGGCTTATGAAGCACTAATAAGAGCGATCGTGCGATTACATCACGAAATTTTCAACTCTGGTTGACTGATTTTAGCCTGGTTGGGGCAAGCCGGGATAAAAATTTCCGTCATGTAATTTGTTTCAGCCTGAGCTTGAATTGCCAAGCCGAAGGGCTGAAAATCAGGCAAATCAAAATTGAGGCTACGATACACAAAGATTTGGAGGAAAATGAAGGCAAGATATCCGTTGTTGTGAAATTATAACGCAAAGCACAATTGCGATGGGACAAAGATGATAAAATAAAAACCTGATACGTTGTTAGCTAGGCCAGTTCGTCAATTCTGATTTTATTGCCAACAAGATAAAACAGCATGAAGCAGTCAGATTAGTTTAGCTAATTTGACTGGCATTATAGTCAGCCCGGGCTGAAAACTCTCCATATAATCGGGCCGTAAGCCGTTGATTGCGTACTATTTGTCAAATTTTTGTCGCCTATAAACAAAAATGCACCAAGTAATACTAAACACAAGTAAAGACCGCGTCGGCAAGGTTTTTTTAATTTAATTTACACATTTATTTTATTAATCAGTTAAAAAGGGACAAGTTCAGTTACCAGAGAAGACATCTTTGTCTTTATTTGGGGCATATTTTGTTTCTTCCCACATCCTTTTCCGTGGCCCTTTTGATCGATGCTATATATATATATATATATATATATATATATATATATATATATATAATATATATATATATATATATAATATATAATATATATATATATATATATATATATATATATATATATATATATAGGTTATCGTAACCTCTATTGTATTTTTCGCACTAACAATGGATAGTTATATTCCAATTAGGTCAATACGAATGGAGTGATTTCTTTTCTCCGCGAAGTGTCACAGTACACACCTGATCCATTCCCTCTTGGAAATAATCAACGTATTATCGCCCCCTTTTGGGCTGATGTTGATACCGGAAATGGTGGCAATGTCTATTACAGAGAAACGCAAGAGCTTGCTATTCGAACGAGAGCCTCAGACGAAATTAGAAAGCATTTCGTTCGTCAAAGAAGCTTCACAGCAAAATGGGTCCTGATTGTTACTTGGCTGAATGTAGCTCGCTATGGATCTCGAGCTCTGCGGGTAATGTTTAGAGAAATAATATAAAATTATAAAATCATGATAATACCAATGCTACATATTCACAAAGTACGGTAATGAGCACGTATAACGAATTGAAAAATAATAGCGAGATATTAACAAGTTATAAAACGAGACAATGTCAAAAATCAAGAATATTTTATTGGAACAACTTTGGTAAAATTCATGAATAATTATTAATGAGGTTTATACACAACCAAATTTCAAATTAGGTCACATGCCCACCTTGTATATCACAGCAAAAAATGAATTTCTTAAGAAATTGAATTTTCTTGTTTTAAGAAAATATTTACTTGTTTCAAGAAATAATTTTCTTATTTTGAGAAAATATTTTCTTAAGATATTTTTCTTCTTAATTTGAGAAAACATTTTCTTGAAATAAGAAAATTATTTCTCGAGAAAATATCAGAGATATCACTTTCTTATCATAAGAAAATGTTTTTCTTAAAATGAGAAATTGTTTTCTTAAGAAAATATTGAGATATCAATTTCTTGTTATAAGAAATATATATTCTTAAACTAAGAAAATGCTCTTCGCATTAAATTTGAAGAATTTCAGCTCAGAGTAAACTTCAAAATTACTTTTGTTTCAAATGTTCCTCATTGTTGAAGTTTGTTGATTTCAGAGAGTTATATGGTTCATATTTTATTGTTTTTCGTTCTGATCATTGGATGATTTTATCAATTTAGCTAATTATCAGTATGAGTAAAGTGCCCTAGTCAACAATGAAGCTTTTCGTACTTGCACTTTACAAGCATGGCGTGACATATTCGGTCAAGAACTGTTAAAATAGAACAAAGTCATGATATAATGTTTGCAAAATGCTGTTTTCATTTACAGAAGCGTGAGATAATTCAAAGCATTCAAAGGTTTAATACTGATAATTGTATGGTCCAGCCTGACGCAGAGCATGATTATTCCATTTATCCCATTATGCCTTTCGAGCGTAGACCACGAGGGAAATTTGAATACTTAACGAAACAACCTATAACAGTATAACGCTATTAACGCATATTAAAGAAATATGGTTCTTTATGGCGGATATGGCATTTGTATCTTGTTATTAACTTTATATATTACCGATAAAGATACGTTTAGGATGTGAGAAAATATACACTATATCGGCGCAAATTTGTGGTATTTCATAAGGTGAGTTGATGTTTCATGATGTCATATGCCAACATGCTGTTATTATATACAACGTATAAACCTTTATTTGTCAGCCTTTGTTAGCCTTAGTCCACCCAATTATAGATCAAGAATTGTATTTAGGTCTTTCTTCATCGTTTAATGATTTGCGCTATGATTTTCCATGTTATTATCTGTTTATATAGTCAAATAGTTGGCTAGCTAAACAATACCTTAGAATTCCTCAGCAATTATGGCCTAGAGCAGCCTATGGCAGTCTTTCTAATGTCTTTGTTTGAAATGTAGGATTAGAGTTGAGTTGTATTTTTAGATTGATACTAAATCCAGAGGGGTTATTAAATGTAACAGTGCTTCTCCACAGTAGGGTTGCGACTGTTTCAAAGGGTATAAATTGTGCATCAGAGTCTGCCTATATCATTAAAATTATCACAAAGCTCTCTATTTTGCCTTCAGATACATTTACCCATACATATTTTGTTAGGGACAATTTTTGGATTTAACACCATTTGATTTCATTGGATAAGGCCTCTATCTATATATTGTTTTAATTACATGCATTTTCATGGTGAATTGATTGGAATTTAAACTATCATAGGGAGGTAGAAAAGCAGTGTAGAATGGGTTGAAGGATGGGTGTATTTGATAATGGTCTTAAAGTAGTTTTCTTAAAGATGCCGGTATTGCAAGCGATAGCTAAAGAATAGCTTAAAATTCCCCAGAGTAGCTAAATTATCATTTACCAGTATTTTTTGTTTGATGTACTCAATTCCTAACATGATTACAAAGTTTTATTTTAAGTTAAGTGTGAACTTAGGATTTACTTCACACCAATTTTTAAATTATTTACTCTCAAATTTATCTGATGATGTCTCATCTGATTTTAAGCACCACAAAAATCCTTTTACAATAATTGATCTGCACTGCAATAATTGATATTTAAAAACATGGTCAAATAAACACTGGACAAATAGAAAACCTTCAAAGCCTTGGTGCAATATTATATATAATCATTTCTCTGTATTTCTAAATAATCATGTAGGACCTATAATTCTCATGTATTAATGTCTGCTGTGTATTCTATATTATGACTCATGAATATTTTAGTAAATTTACATTACATTCTTACTTATAACAAAATATCATGTCAGAGTTTTCTAGGGTTTCTTGAGAATTAACTTTTCTTATTATAAGAAAATATTTTCTTGGAAATATTTCTTATATTAAGAAAAATTTCTTAAGAAAATTTTTCTCATTATGAACATTCTATAAGAAATTTTAGCCTAATTTCAAGAAAATTTTCTTAAACTGAGAAATTATTTGTGTGCAACTTTTCTTATTTTGAGAAAATTTTCGTAAGAAAAAATTTCTTAAGAAAAAAAGTAAGAAAATTTTCTTATTATTCTCCCAAGAAAATTTGAACTCATTTTAAGAAAATTTTCTTAAAATGAGTTTTTTTTTTCTTGAAATAAGAAAATGATTTTTTGCTGTGTACCCATACAAATAAGTTTGAATAGATATGGAAATCAGTTACATACAGCATTTTTGTATCAGAAAAATACAGACACTAATGATTGTGAATGATTTGCATATCCATTCAAATCTTATTTGTATAAATAATAGCATGGTTTCGAGCGCAATTTGGAAAAAACATGCACGAGTCAAAGACCTCAAAATAGCACGAGTCAAAAGGACGAGTGCAATTTTAAGTCTTTGAAAAACTCACGAGTGCATGTTTTTCCACATTGCACGATTGCACGATATGCTATTATAGCTATAAATGATATACATAAAATAATTTAGCAACACGTGCTACATTATTATATGATAAATAACTTATTCAATTAAAAAAATTGATGACAGTTGCATTATGTTTTCAAATCGTGTTTGGGCACGCTGGAACTTCATTTAATACAGATAATGTATCGCATCAAGTAATGTGTTTTTTGCGCATGCTCAATAATGATTAGATATAGAAAGCCTTGTATGCTATGAAAGCCTTGTATGCCATTCTATGCCATTTCTCAATCAAAGCGCACCTTCCTTCCAAGGGTAAAAACGGCCAGACCGATGCTATTGAATTTCAGTACAAACTGATTCCCAAATGATACCAAACTAAGCCTTATTCACGTATATCGTTAGCTACATATACCTAGCACCAATAATGCAGTTTTACCCCTATATTCTGTACGAAGTGCTATATTTACTAGAAACCCTAAGAAAGAAACATTTTTCTAAAGGAATAAATATTGAGAGGGAATGGGGCACAGTTGCATGCAACGATTGGCGCGACGCAGTAACCGCCAGAAATTGGCGTCTTTTTTAAAAAAATCTATATGCCCTCATACAACTGTCTCTCAAATTGCCTAGAAATATTTAAAAAAAATTTTCAGTTTACCATGTCGCCGTTGGTAACTCAGAATAGATAAGCACCGCAAGATGGCGGATGCAAAATTTTGAGCTCCTCAAATTTTTTGAAATTTTTCACTATTTTACCAAGATATTTTTAATTTAATTGCTAAAATTTTTAATACTTGGTTTCTTGAGTTCGTTTTGCCATAATTTCCGAAAAGAACTGTCTTAGACCACACACACAATCGCCATGGCCGACGATCGTTTACAGGACAGCCTTGAGCAGTCTAAGTCAAGTCACAATCGAGCCGATATGAATTGGGATTTTCTTAAAATGCACGAGTATGTGGTGTCCAGAAGCATAGCATATGATGGTTCGCGTCTTAAATGGTGTGAGAACTATGAATCTCTTCAAGATTTCATTAAAGTGTCATTTGGATACGAGGGTAAATGGCGTTCAGCTGGGGGTAGTTCGAAGAGATTTGAGGCCAAGGATTCTGACTTTGTCGCTACGTGGTATCCTGGGAAGTTAAATACTCTATCATTTAATGGTATGATTGGAAAGGAAGCTAAAGAATGCCTGATCACCCTGTTTACACCCCCCCCTGGAAACCCCTGTCAGAATACCTTGAAAGAAAATCCCAGTCAAACTGTTTTGGAAGAATCTATTGAAAATTTGTTGTTCGAGATAGAAATATTGAAAACTAGGATGGATTCAGTGCAATCGACAATTACTAGTGAGGACCAGCATACGCCAATAGTGGCAAATTTAACAAGTGAAATTACTCGGCTTCAGATCGACCTGGAAGAAGAAAAGTTTAAACGGTCTGTCCTTGAAACACAAGTTCAAAGACTCCAAGATGAGCTTAATACAATGAAATCATATCAAAAAGATGATGAGCTGAGTCAACGCAGCTCAGATGCAAGTGTGGTCGAAGTTGCAGCAGTCTATGCGGATCCTCAAGAGGACAGCATCACGCGTCGCCAATGATGGAACCTACTACAACCACCAAACAAAACCAACCAACTGGCTTTAAAGACCAAATAGAGGAATATAGACGAAAACAAAAACATAAAAGAAGTCTTGGCGGTCATTTTTCATCCGAGTTATCAGCTACTCGATATGATGGCCAAGGATCCCAAAAAGCTAAAAAAATGCATTCACGGCAAAAAGCACCCATAGTAAAGCCAGTATCCCATGATAGAAACCAAAGTGTTTCCCTTGTTAAGAATTCTGCAGTCACACAGCAGGTTAATAGTGACACTCAGAAAAATCACCATACTCCTAGAAATAAAGATTCAGGCATACAACAGATTAATAGTAATACTCAGAAAAATCACCATACTATTAGAAATAAAGATCGCAAGAAATCCACCCCCTGCCCTTTTTTGGCCCGGCGTGGTCGGTGTGCTAAAGGAAATCGGTGCGACTTCTACCATTCCAATTCGCAGTACTGTGACAAATCCCGAGTATTTTGCCCCTTTTTGCAGAGGAAAGGTTATTGTCTGAAGGATGTCAGATGTGATTTTTTCCACCCTGTCCCTAACAACAAGTCCCTCACTACATTGGATGATCCTTTTTTCTATCGACGAACCTATCCACCCTACCAAGCCAAAATATACCCGTTTGGGTTACCCAACGCACAAAATCCACCCCTAAACATATGGAAGCCACTAAACGTCCCAAAAAAACCAACTTGATCAGAATTCCTTGCCTACCAATGAATCCCACTCCCAGACAAGTCGGTAATTCCATCGATTCGACAAACCAAAACAACACCCACTATGTCCCTGCTTTTCTCTTATCTAATGTAATGTCATTAGCCCCAAAAATTGATGAAGTACAAGATGTTGTCCGACGCGGAAACTACCAATTCATTAGCATAGTGGAGACTTGGCTACAGAGTCATATACACGACAATGTAGTCAATATCGAAGGATATAACCTCATCCGCAGAGACAGAATTAACGGCCAACACGGAGGCGTTTGTACTTATATTGAAAATACGATCGGTTTTGAGTTAATAGAAAACTTAACTAATGACTTGTTTGAGGTGTTATGGATCAAAATGCTGATGCCCAGACTGCCGAGAAGATTTAATAGCTTGGTCGTCGGGACCTTATACCACCCCCCAAGTGCTGACGACTCAGCAATGCTGGATTATTTATCCAACTGTCTCTCTACATTGGAATCATGCTATCCTAATTGTGGTTTTATTATTCTGGGCGACTTTAATCAGTTAAATATCAACCGATTAAAACTAAGCTATAACCTACGTCAACTTGTTAACTTTCCAACACGTGGCAGAAATACTCTTGATCTCGTCTTGACAAATCTTTACGAATACTACGATCAACCGGTAAAGTATGCACCATTCGGTCTCTCTGATCATATGTCTGTAGAATTTAAACCAAAAGAACGATGTCAACCCCAAAGAGCGCAGAAAAGAGTGGTGAAGAAAAGAGATCTACGTCCGAGCTCCCGTCTTGCATTCCGTAAATATTTGGAACTGTTGGACATTCCCAGCATGTTTGACAAAGCCCCTTCTTGCACAGAAAAAATCTCCCTCTTGGAAACCATTGTAACTACTGGTCTGGATTATATTCTCCCACTGCGCTCAACTACATCTCGGTGTAATGAACCTCCCTGGATGAACTCAAAATTATCATTATTAATTAAGAAACGCCAGAAAGCTCTTAACCAAGGAAATATTACCCAATTCAAGTACTTGAGAAATAAAGTAAACCGCAAAAGGAAAAGTTGTCGTGCGAAGCATTATGAAAATAGCATTCAACATCTTAAAGAATGTAAACCATCCTCTTGGTGGAATGAGGTTAAGAAGCTCAGTGGAGCAAAATCTACTAGCGGAAATAACGAAGAAATCCTTAAAGCCTTAAGACCTGATGAACACCTTACGGAAACAGATAAAGTAGATATTGCAAACGAGATAAATGATTCTTTTCTTTCCCCAATGGCTGAATTTACTCCTCTCACTCCAGAGAATTACCAAGATCTGTTATTTGGCGCAGCTAATGATTCTACTGTCACAATTGCTGCAGGAGACGTATTTAAAAAACTGTCAACGCTTAATCCAAGGAAAGCCCACGGCCCTGATGGAATACCAACATGGGTGTTAAAAGAGAATGCTGATTTATTGGAACTTCCAGTCAAAGAGATCCTAGATGTTCTTACGCGCGAATGCCGTATTCCACAATCTTGGAAAGAGGCCGACATTATTGCTATCCCTAAAAAGAAACCCATAACTGACATTAATAACAACCTACGTCCAATATCATTAACACCTATTTTATCAAAACTGGCCGAAGAATTCGTGGTTGAACAACACCTAAAACCTGCGGTATTAGCCACAATTGATAAAAGGCAATTCGGATCCATCCCGAATTCAAGCACTACGTATGCCCTTATCAGCATGTTGCATTTTTGGAATAAAAACACGGACGGAAATGGCTCTACAATCAGAATTATGCTTTTTGACTTTCGTAAAGCTTTCGACATGATAGATCATCATATCCTCGCACGAAAACTGTTAAAATACAACATCCCAAAACCTATATTGCATTGGATCTTAGACTTCCTCACTGATCGCAGTCAGAGAGTTAAACTTAGCGATGACTGTTTTTCCGAGTGGAAGGCTGTGCCAGCGGGTGTCCCCCAGGGGACAAAATTAGGCCCTTGGCTTTTCTTAATCATGATGGACGACCTTGATGTTGCTGATAACAAGAACCTTTGGAAATACGTAGACGATTCAACTATGTCTGAAGTCATAAATAAAGATCAACCTAGTATAATGCAAGCGTATGTCAACGAATTCTCCTTAAAATCCAGAAGTGATGGTATGCAGTTAAAAGAGTCCAAATGCAAGGAACTTCGAATAAGTTTCTCAACTGTAAAGAGAGAGTTTGATCCTATTATTATCAACGAACAAAACATCGAAGTAGTCCAGTGTGAAAAACTACTCGGTTTAACCATCTCCGACAACCTCAAATGGAATAAACATATTGAGACTGTATGCAAGAAGATTTCAACTCGTCTATACTTCTTGCGACAATTGAAACGGGCAAAGTTACCATCCAAGGATCTTCTCTTGTTCTATGTTACTTGTATTCGGCCGGTTGCTGAATACGCGTGCGAAGTATTCCACGATTCCCTTACAAAATACCTGTCAGACGATCTCGAAAGATTACAACGCCGAGCTTGCAGAATAATCCTCCCCGAACATTCGTACGAGGATGCACTTAATCAACTAGGTCTCTTGTCACTGTTCGATCGAAGACAAAATTTGACCGATAAGCTTTTTCGGCAAATTGTTAATGATCCGCAAGACAAATTACACCATTTATTACCAGCATTAAATCTATCTGAGGCATCTCTGAGAGAAAGAAGAATATTTCAAGTTCCAAACTGTAGAACAATTAGATTTAAAAACGATTTTATCAATTTCAATTCTAGTAAATACGTATAATATATCTGAGACACTAAATAATGTAAATAGATAGTTTTACCAATTGAACCTCCACTTTTATGGATTTTAATAACATAGATCATACTTTTTGTAACACTTAAGGTTTTTCAGCCGGAGCCTATTGCCGAGGCTGCAAGTTTTAAGTCAATAAACCATCTATCTATCCATCTATCTATCTACCCTTTTCTAATTCATTTTTGCGGGACCAGGCAAAATTAATTGTTTTTATGGAAATGTTGATAAAAAATTTAAAAAAATTGAGGCTCTGTATGCATTCAAACCAGAGGAGGGCTAGCTAAAGTGTGATCGAGAAAACATGCCGGGAACCAATACAATTTACATCATAACAAGAAACAATATCTTGAAACAATTCTTGGCATATTACACGTCAAGATTATTATGACAGATTTTATAACTGCAAGAGAACGCGTCAAAGCTTATTTGAGAATTTATTGAGAGAAATTAAGCCTGGCTACATTTTTCTTTTCCTTTTAATAATCAAATTATACAATGAAATGCTCACTTTATTATATAGAATACATTTCAGACGATACTGGCAACAGATGGTGTAAGCTCATTTTCAATATTCTACTATAACAAAATTGAATGGACTTTTGGGACTTTCAGCAACAGCATTCCTGCCCAGGTTTGTGAACAATGTGCGAAATAATTTTTACCTAAGATAAACATATACGAGATAAACATATACGATCTTGTCCCCTTTTTATATTTTCCAGATATTCCATGATTTAAAATTTAAAGCAGTAGCGTGATCAGCGCGATAATTGCGAGTGAGGGGGGGAGGGGGTTAGTTGATGATTAATTCCTTTTCAAATCAGTTGTCTTTATATGAATATGCCTGCTCCTATATTGTCGATGATGGCTACACCACCGACTAACAATTCCAAATCTGTGAAACAGATAAGGAGATGACTGAGAAAAAAATAATCAAAAGGAAGGCACTCAAGAAGCCTGATAACTATTGCGACTTTCTAAAATCGCGAACCATAGCTATATAATCTTTTTCGCCATTTTTTGTGCCACTAAATTTGGTGGATTGTTAGACAGGAGCTCATTCTCAAACTTAGGACGATAATTTTGGCATCATTCTTACAAATGATGAAATCTCAAAGAGCGCGACCTAATCGAGGTTCCACCTAGGCCTGGGTTAAGCGCGGTTTTTGCTACGTTATTTCTGGACATTACCGTAAGAAGCCGATTTGCGAATTGTTCATTGATTTAGGACCATTATAAAAAATAAAAAAATGTAATAGCATATATGTCATTAGTAATGTTTTATGCCATATCATAAACTTTTTATTAACCTCGCTTACTCGGTCTTATCGGAGCTCGATCGATATGTTTTTACAAGCATAGCTCTTCCAGCTCGTTCTGTTCAAAAAGAACTCGGTCCTTTATTTCTCGGTAAAGACCTCGCGCTCGGTTAATAAGATGTTATTGTTCAACGTAAGCATTATAGCTACTACTTTTTATAGCTACAAACATTATCCACTGATTTAAACCGTGGCGTGTATCGATATAGCCTGAGCACGGTTTGAATTTACGCCTGTACAGTCTGTGAAAACTCGCAAGATAGCTTGCCGACACCCAGCAAGGCCGAATTTTGCAGAGTTCTAAAGCTTATGCTTATTGGATAGTGCGATGGAGGTGTAGCCAAGGTATACTCTATCGCATAATATCCAATAAGCATAAGCTTTAGAACTCGGTTTGGTGGAAAAAGCGGACTGCGATCTGCGGGCTGCGCGGACTCTAGAATATTACCTTCTTTATATTTATAGTGATTTGGTGTAGGAGCATAATAATTATGCCTCATTACTGCGTATGCCTATCCGGAGTCCGCGTTTTCCACAAAACCTTAGAACTACGGGAAATTTTGGCCACTGGGAAACATTTGTTTAGAATTGAGCATTTTTGCTGGGTGTCGTATTACGGGCTACGCACGGGCTATTATGGTAGTAGTAATAGTAGTAGTAGTAGTAGTAGTAGTAGTAGTAGTAGTAGTAGTAGTAGTAGTAGTAGTAGTAGTAGTGGTGGTGGTGGTGGGGGTGGTGGTGGTGGTGGTGGTGGTGGTGGTGGTGGTGGTGGTGGTGGTGGTGGTGGTGGTGGTGGTGGCGGCGGCGGCGGCGGCGGCGGCGGCGGCGGCGGCAGCAGCAGCAGCAGCAGCAGCAGTAGTAGTAGTGGTAGTAGTAGTAGTAGTATAGTAGTAAGAGTAGTAGTAGTAGTAGTAGTAGTAGTAGTAGTAGTAGTAGTAGTAGTAGTAGTAGTAGTAGTAGTAGTAGTAGTAGTAGTAGTAGTAGTAGTAGTAGTAGTAGTTACAAGTTACAAGTTACAAGAGAGGATACAATATATATAAAATTGAAGTTATGTACACAGATTTAAAAAGCTATTTTAAAGATTTTTAAAACCTTTAAAAATCTAAAATTATTGAACTTATGGTTCCAGTCGTATTATAGTGATCACTGGCCTACACCCATAGAAATAGCTGAGGATAAGATGCGTACTGATCACGAAAACGTTTCCCGCCTTAGCTTCTTGATGCATTTTCATACCTGCACCCAGATGAACCAGTATGCAGACGTGTGAACTGCTTTTCTTAACACAATTTTTAGGCTGGTTTTAATGCGGGGGATGGATTTCGATATTTTAATATTCCAAACTCACGCACTCCTGCCATTATCAACATCACATCAACATCAAACTATGAAATTCCTGGGATGTGGATCTTCCAAGTTGATGGAGAAACAGTTAAAAATACTGGCTGTGCGTTAGGAGGCGGTAATGTATATATATATACATGCTCTGCCAATTGAGCTATATGGCCAACATGCACGGGTTTTTGATATTTCGAAACGATACTAGTTTCTTCGATATCGACAGCTTGTCAGCTCAATAGGTGGTTTAGTTATTTGCATGAGGATGGTACTCGGGAATAGGAATGAATTTGTAGTAGAATATGACACCAAGTTGCAGCCCGTTATGGCAAGTAGAAAATTCTACTTGACCACGGCAGGATTTGAACCCGCGGCCTTCGGTATACTAGTCCGATGCTCTGCCAACTGAGCTACATTGGCCAACACGGGTTTTTGATATTTCGAAACAATACTAGTTTCTTCGATATCGACAGCTTGTCACCTCAATAGGTGGTTTAATTATTTGCATGAGGATGGTACTCGGGAATAGGAATGAATTTGTAGTAGAATATGACACCAAGTTGCAGCCCGCCATGGCAAGTTGAAAATTCTACTTTACCACAGCAGGATTTGAACCCGCGGCCTTCGGTATACTAGTCCGATGCTCTGCCAACTCAGCTACATGGCCAATAAACCCAGAGCCACAAACATATGTTATGTCTAGAAATTTATATATATATATATATATATATATATATATATATATATATATATTTATATATATATATATATATATATATATATATATATATATATATATATATATATATAAATTTCTAGACATAACATATGTTTGTGGCTCTTAATTATAACATACTACTAAACAAATGAACATGATGATGGTAATCTGGGTCACTAGCAAACCAAAGGTCGCAGGTTAGATTCCCACCATGGTCAAGCGAGTTTTTCAGCTTACCCGGTTGGTGACCCAGAGTATAGCATCGACACAATGTTCATTTCCGTACATGCACACCTGAGTCTTAAGGCGGATTTCCATTGAGTGCAAATGCATGGAAACTGACATTTAGCGGTCGCTCTCTTTTGAAATACAAACAGTCAAGCCGAACTAAACCTGTCAGATGAGCTTGAATGAACACATTTAAAAAAAAGAGATCGCTAAAAATCGATCAAGGCACGTGGTACAATAAATTGTGTAAAATTTAAGTGTATACAACAGGTTTTCATTTAAATCAGAGGAAAATCTATTTGAATTTTCGGTTTTTGCGTTTATATTCATGGGAGATGCTCTATAATTATGTCCTTCATGATTAATTTTATTCTCACCAGTTTTCTGCCGAAGGTGAATATTGATGAATATTTTTGATAATAATTTTGATAAAAATAAAGGTGATTGCATGTTAAACTGAGAAATTCAATCCAGACTGTATTGCATACAAACGCGTATACATCTTTTTTGCAATTTAACGGAAGGTGAAGAAAGACGTTTTGATTACCAGAAATTAGTGAGAAAAAGAAATGACTGCGCGGCTTTTGTATTGATTTGCTCAATCCACGCATAGTGGTTTTTGAGGTTTGTTATAAAATACATCGAGTAAAGCCTTGCATTGAGCACTCCTTACATTATTCGACTTCCGGATTTTGTTTTTCGGTAATATTATTTTTTCTGTACTTCGAAATTGTTTCTGTAATAATTAAAAAAAAATATTACTTTTATGAGGCGGTACAACCGACAACCATACGAAATCTGTATTTGCGTTTGAAAAAAATCAGTTGACCGAACGAACGTCAAAAGATAAGTAATTCAAAATGTATCCAGGGTTAATCATAATGAAAATTACAGACGTGCTCGTAAAACATAATCATTATTTCGTGAGCTTTCGTCTGTCAGGCTAAAGCCTTCAACCAGTTGATAACGATCCAGAGGTCGACAAACTTTGGGCAAGGTCCAAGGCAACGCTGAATTAAAGTTTTGCATTTTTATACTGAGAACTAGGAATAAATACATGTATGCATGCAATGCAGTAACTCCACGTTAATTTAAACCAAAGCACCAAATTTCTGCATGATTTTCGTAGCCCTGGGGCTGGTTGTTCAAAAACCGGTTAACGCTAACCCAGGGTTAAAAATGCCTAACCCAGGGTTAAATTTTAAACTTTGGTTGATTTGCGTTGCACAAAGCTCGGTTAGCGTTAACCCTGGGTTAAAATTGATAAAAAAAATTACCCCGGCTAGCAAGGTGGGTTAACTTTTTAATCCTGGGTTAACTTCGATTCAAAATGGATGAATAAGGAGCTGAAACACGTAAACACGTATAATTCGTCATGAATTAAACATTTTTAAAAGGTTTTACGAATAATTTTGACAGCAAAGAATTATTCAAGTTTGATTTCGTTCGGTTTCAGCTAATGTATTGATTTATTTATCTTCGCTTCAATGCAACACACGATAAATGAATACAACCGTACAAATTGAAACATCGTAATCGAAATATTTGTTTCAGATGCCAAAAGTCGATTCTTTTGATTGGCAGCAAGTGGAAACGCTACGTTTGTTCCCGAATTTTGAATAATCAAAGAATGCCTTTTTTAAAATAGATTATAGATTGTTTATAATTTGCCTAATTTTATTGAACATCGACATTGTCTAGATATCGCAACGCTGCTCTCACGCAATATAATTTTTCGACTGACAATATATCCTCGTCGGGTAAAGTTTTGAGGCTCGTTTATTGACCAATCGAAAACGTTCTTATATCCAATTTAGTCCTTAAAATAAATTTAATCTTATTCTTAGGTTAAATATTTTAACCCTGCGTCTAGCCCTACCGCTAACCCTGATTTTAACAACACCGTTTTAACCCAAGTTTAGCTAACCTAGGGTTAAGCATTTTAACCCAGGTTTAGCACTAACCCAGGGTTAAATTTAACCTGTTTTTGAACAACCGGCCCCTGGTTTTGAAAACGCGGTATATCAAGATCGTATACAATTAAATAAACTGTATGATTCAATACAGCAAAGTAATACGGAGTAAACGAAATAGGCACATGCCTGTTTAAAACATTTGGTAGCTTATATGAAATATGTATCGTTCCTCGTTCATCGCTCATGCACAACACTCTTAAACTGCATGTATATTCGAGTTGTTTAACGATGATCGATATGTTAATTTGCCCATGCCGAAATAAACTTGCTCATTTTAGTTTGTGAAGAGTTTTTTGCAAAATAGTTGGCGAAGTTCTCAATAAAATACAAACTATCTGCCTTAGCCAATGAGAATGTTGCTGCTTACATCCTATACTAGTTCAAAATTTTGGTTGTTTTCACATTAGAAGAACCACAAACTATTATGAGAATGAGAATTATCGCGTTGTCTCCGACACTGCAAATAGTTCGATCAATATTATTATTTCCGTTATGTTATCGGTTTTTTTATTTATGATAATTGAGATAATGTCTTTTTGCAGATCTGGTACTTTCACCAAGGTCAGGGATTGAATTAGGAGGGACTGTTGTGTACATTGGGGGGCCGTGTTACAATTCCTCTAAAGATGTCGCGTGTCGCTTTAACAAAAATTTGGAGTCAGCAGCAGAGCTTATCAGTCCAGAACAAGCATATTGCGTTACACCTCGGCTGAATGTCACTGGACTTATCCCTGTCGAATTATCTTTGGATGGTGGCACCACATACAATTACAGTGGCATTTTCAGATCAAGTAGGTTTACAATCTAAGATGTTTGCGGCGGGCTTTGGCTATGTCTACAATATTTTAACTTCTTAAGTAACGATCTAGCTAACTGTTACGTCAACGAGATCAATGCTGTCAGGCTTGATGGTGCTCTCCACCTGTTCAAAGCCGTAGTGTTGCTGAAATCGCAAGACCAACTGGACAACTCAACCTGATGATTGGTTATGAGTATGCAGGATTTAATCCGCAAGTAGAGAGAAGAGAGGGACATCTTCTGTTATCGAGAAACCAGTTTGGAAAGTGCATTGGCGGGAAACATCCGAGCATCAAAGAGACTCAACCAACCAGTGAACTGACGAGTGTCCTAGTAAACTACATCAATGCACTCGAGGTCAAAGATTTCTACAATATTGAAGGTCTTGGCGTAACATGCTCACCGCGCTGTGGAGGTTGTAAGTGTGAGAAGTGCGGAATTGGAAGCAAGGATTATACGCTCAAAGAACAGAGAGAATTAAAGCTCATTAAAAGGAAACTGACGTTCAGTAGCGTAGCCAGCCTGACGATTTAGTCATGCTATGCAAATTTTATGTTATTATCATTATTCATTTCGTACATCTAACGACTGGTATTGGTTAGTAGGAGAATTCAACATCGCAGATTGGATTACTCGAGGAAGAAACCTAGCGACATTGGTCTAGACAGCACTTTTTAAGAACTGCCCGGAATTTCTTTGAGAAACCTGTCTCCGAATGGGCAGTAAAGCAAACCTTCAATGGAACAGAACTCCTAGAGAGAATTTGGTGTTGCAAATTATACTGGCGACAAAGACGCAGCCGCCAACATCCAAGCAGCTGAAAACGACATCACACGTTACTCTTCGTACAACAAACTGATGGGAATTACCGCAAGAGACATTGCTACGGCCTCCGGAGAACGACAACCAAGTTAGGCTCTCACGTCGGTCTGTGGAACACATCCCAAACCGAAGTCATCAATGTGTTGCAGCTATTACGAGTAAAGTGCGGTTGAGATTCTCGATCCCGAAATTTCAAGCAAGTCAATTAAATTCAAATACGTGGCATGTAAGAAGATCGATAAGACCCTGTCTTGTCAAATTATGGAAAAACTATCAGAAAATCGTCTTAACTTGCACGACTGTGGTCCTCTACTGAAATAGACCTATTCGGACACTTCAAGATTCGAGACGAAGTAAAGAAAAGAACCATTTGGAAAGCCTTTAAGTAATATTTAATTGTCTGGAAACATGAGCTGTTCGTGTTGATCTTTCACAAGATTATATCAATTAGCAACTAATAATTAAACAGCCGCCAACGTTGGTGGTCATTTTACTTGCGGTCGACCAGGACAAGCGAAAAAAATAAGAGTTAAGAAATCACGGATATGAACACGGAAACTCATAATTAAGCTTGTTGAGTTTGGTGAGCTTTAGAACACTGTCTTTTACTCGTTAGTAGGGAGGTTAAGATATACTTCCACTAGCAGTACCGATACGAAAATACATGACGTATTACTGTTTGGCAGCGCGGAAATTTTAAAGCGTTAAGATTGTGACTTCCGTAAGAAGTACATAAACATGGCGGAGTATACCGGGGCTATATTCACATCAAAAGCTCTAATCACAATCCTTAAGTCTCACCAAACAAAGCAGAAACATTATACTAAATAATATTGACTAAAAACTAAATAATATTAATATAAAACTACTGCAGAAAATGACAATAATAGAGCAAACATAATTCGGCACTTCGCTTACTTATCCACTCCATTTTCAGCCCCAAAACGGTACTCGCAACTTCCAGTGTTCTCACATTTTGGACAATTTTTACAATGGACAATTGTTGGACAATTGTGTGCCCATGCGCGTAACTGATTATTGGTATCGGTACTCGTAGCGGAAGTCGATCTTAACCTCCCTAGTATTTCTAGAGAACGGCAATGTTTCGCTAAGGATCCGAACGTTTCCGATTATTGACTTCCAAGCGATGGTATTTTGAAGTTTTTAGCGCCATATTTTTTAGGCTAATTTATATGAAAGTGTTGTGATTGTGTGTAGTATATAGCAGATTATCGTTTTGTTAGGTCGCTTTATCGAAGATATCACCGTGTAATTATTTGTTTTAGACTGTAGTTTATCCACGCAATGTTTGTACTTTATGAAATATTTATTTTTTGTTATATATGACTGTGTAAACTTGTACAGCATTTGCATGTCATTTAAAGAAAAGAGAAGAACATTAAAATGATTGGTATTTCATTAACGCTGAAAGAACTAAAATAGCGCCGATTTAACATCAATTCTATTAGTGCGGAAGTTCAACAACAACGCCATAATATTATATATTCCGTAAAGTGAAAATCAATAGAACGAAACGAAGAACAATTGCGTTAACTTATTGATCATTAACATTTTCGCAACAACAATAGCAATAAATCAAACGACATTTAGCAAAGAGAAATATTCATTAATGTAAAGGTGTACAAAGTAGATATTAGAATTCCCATTCTATCATATTTGTCTGTTCACACGACAGCAATATATGTGTAGTATGTTTTATCCCTAGATGTGTTCTCTTTCAAGTAGGTCTGCATGCATAAGTCTGCCCCATGCTGTGTACATTTCGCAATGGTTAGGCAGTGCACATTCCGTTCAGCAGCTGCTATCAAAATTTGTTTTTGAAATTCAACGTTTTGAAGTGAACAACGTCTTCTCATCTGTGCCTTTATAGCTATCTTTTCTTTGTAATTTATGTATACATATTAGAACGCAGATGAGGAACTTTGTGTAAATGAGTATTTCTTTACGCTAAATGTCGTTTGATTTATTGCTATTCTTGTTGTATTCATGTTAATGATCAATAAATTAACGCAATTGTTCTTCGTTTTGTTCTATAGATATTCACTTTACGGAATATATAATAAGGCGTTGTTGTTGAACTTTCGCACTACTACAATTGATTTTCAATCAGCGCTATTGTAGTTCTTTCAGCGGTATTGAAATACCGACCATTTTAATGTTCTTCTCATTTCTTTAAATGACATGCAAATGCTGTATTATAGATTCGGAAACTGTTAAATATATCATCAATGACAATCAGTGTTTCTGAAACTATGGTATAGTAAAAAGCGGTCTACAAAACACTAACCAACTACAGTGGCGTAGCCAGCCCGACGATTTTATCCCGCTATGTAAATTTCGAGTTATTTTAAATATTAACTTGTTTAGAAATTCATTGTATTTGGTTTTTATTGTTTTCACAGTCAAGAACGAATTAATATTTCTACTGCATTTTGGTTCATGAAAATGTGTATATTATTAGTAATACAATTAGTTTAATTAATCCACATGCAACATTACTTATTGTATTTTTTTTAAGTTCCGATCGGACGAAATCCTCCAGATATCGAGGGGCTTGAAATGAAGCAATGGGTAAACTCAACAAAAACAGTTTTGACCTGGGATCAAAATGCCATCAACGCAACCCACATTGATATTGAAATATCCCATTTTGATTCTTTTGACTTCCGTCTTCACCATGGAAGCTTGAAAACGTTTAAGAAAGTTCCAAACTCTGGCAGTTACGCGCTTGATTTCAGTGAGAAAAGTCTTTCTATGAATGAAAGGTAGGCCCCATTAAGTTATTTTCGTTCACAGAATGTAATTTAAATGAACACAAATACAATTTATTTGAATAAACGATTTCACACTTAAATCGAAACCACACTGACCCGGGTGTTCACACTATCGCTTATATTAGTTTTTGCAACTCGTCACAATGATGCAAAATTTAATTAAAGGCATTTTCTTGCAGAGGGAGACGAAAACGAAGAAATACAAATGCGGGATCCGACATTGCAATCGTCAGCATAAAACCATCGTTAGTGAGAAAGAAACGATTCTTGATCAATGGAAAAAGTTTTAGGTGGATTGTTTCACGAATCTTTAGTTTGCCTTTTCTTCGTCAAGTGAAGTATATTTCGAAGGGGGCTAGTGAAGTCTACTGCAGAATTTGGCATGCATTTCAAAACAGAGATGAAAATAAAAGAATGCAAGGTATGAAAAACATATCTGGTCATAGTTCCATATTATCATATCTTTTTTATCAAGCAACGGTTTATAGATATTCATGTATTCTCCCTTAAGATTATTGTTGAGTGTATTGGTTTGAGCCGATCGAATAAGCGATTTCATATGCGAGCTTATACAATAAATATAAGTGTTAGAGACTAAGTGTCCAGAGAGGTGCCAGAGATGCCAGAAAAAAACTCGTGTAGGAGGAAATATGGGTTGTGGCACAGCGAAAGAATTAATCAGAAATCTGAAGTCCGAGTGATTTAGTACGTTGCAGCAAATCTGCGGTCGTATATTTAATGTGTATATTTTTTAGACGTTGGATTTCTCCAACCTGCATGTCCATCTATTGTGTCACTGTTTACCCGGCGGCTGGGCCGTAGCTAGAAGCTTAATTGGGGGTGGGGGGAGTGTATATTCATATATTCGTCCTATATGCCCGACTGATTTCTTTTGTACGCTTTTGTTCTGCGGTATATAAACATGAATATGTGACCCTCCACGGGAAAACATACATTAACGGTTTGAAAAAACGGGCTGAAATACCGTTTGCTATCCGTTTTCTATCCGTGAAAATCAAAAAAGGTTGCCGTGAAAAAAATTTAAACGCCCGTTTAAACTTTTTGGCTTGGCGTTTAAACGGTTTGCTCAAAACGTGAAAACGTTTTGACTGATCCGTGAAAACGTTTTGACCGATCCGTGAAAACATTTTGGTAAAGCTGTAAAAACGTTTTGATAGCGCCGTAAAAAACGTTTTGGTTAAGCCGTGAAAACGTTTTGATAGAGCCGTAAAAACGTTTTGGTAGGGCCGTGAAAACGTTTAAATAAAACCGTGAAAATGTTTTCGTAATCAGGTTTCACCTAACCACTCAAACGTTTCCGCTAGCGTGCAATTAAATATATCTATCCGACAGTCGGGACCCTTGAAAAGTTTAATATCGTATAAAACTACATATCAGAGTATATTATTCTATATCGAAGGCAAGCAAAATCTGTCGAATATCCAATTGAAATCCCTATCACTGACTATTGCGTACAAAGAAGTAGCTATGATTGACCCAAAATATGTGTCTGTCTAGGATCTTTCAATAAAGTATATTATCACAAAAGACACTGTGATGCCGCCACTGGTGATTTGCCAGCTTTCATTGCCACAAAAAATGTGATTTTGACATGTAATCACCTGGGTCCCAAAAATCCTGGGTTTTATCGCAATTATAAATGCAGCTATTTCTAATGCCTGTGTGAAGATATCTAATTTAAGATTTATGACAGCAATTAGATTCTATACATATAGCTACTAAGCAACTATCTGGGATGTAAATATAATAAAACTATAACGGGAAATATCTCATATTTGTTTTTATGCAAATATAAAGATTCTAATATGTATAATAAAGTTCTACAAATACTTATATAGATGACAATATATGTATAATAAAGTTCCATATATACACAATTCTTTATAGTTCTGGTTCGCAAACTGTTTTGACGCACATTCTTTTATCTCCTATAATTATAAACACCGATTTGGCACGACCAAACAACTTTCACATTCATAACCATGCATTTCGCGATCCATTTTGGCAAAAATAACTAATTATTGCGTTATAGCATAGCGTGCAAGCTTCCTGTTGTTTTACATCAACTTTCATCCTGTTTACCTATTACATACATTGTACTGCATGCATGCATGTATACAGTAGCTATATATATAACATATATACATTATAGCATATACACGCTATACTACACAGTACACATACGCACAATATTTTCAACAAGGTGCATTTAACCAATTTTCGCCAGTGCATGCGTGTCGAAGTTTGAAAATGGGTTGTAAAAAATCGACATGATATATATAAACTCGCCATTTTTCTGCCATATCGCCCTTTTGGACTGTAGTTATGTATATGCTTTCATTTTGAGAGCACATGCACGACTATACACATGCAGTCATATAATAATTATATAGTGTTATGCTGTATAACCAGATTAATGAGATTATTCTAATCCGTATTTAAAATTTACGCAAAAATTTAGATGTCATTGAAAATATTTGACCTCTGTCGGAAAATTTGAGCTCTTTTTCTCTATATCATTCCACTGTTTTCGTTTCGACATATTCAAATGCAAATTTTAATATTTGCATATAAATTTTAATATTTCCAAATAAAAAAACCCACGTGCACGTTGGTTTGAAGTGATGGATCAGTGGTAAACACTGGATGTAAAGCTTTGCATTTCTTTGTACGCTAGCCTATTGCCTACACTTCATGTAATACATGAATATAAAGGTTACGTATGGCACGTCTGGGCCGATGGCACGCCTGGGCCACGGCGTTTTTTCCAAATCAATTTTTTTTTAATTTTTAAAAATTTTTTAAACAAAAACAATCTGAAATCAAATTTAAAGAAAACGAATTAAAAAGAAAAACTGAAAGTAAATTAAAAGAAAAGGACAAAAATGAAAGAAAAATATTATTGACGAAATAAATCAATGTGGCACACGTAGGCCACCATACTAATCTTATTTAACTAAAAATTATTGGTGGTCACAAAATATCTCTAAAAATTTCATCAGGAAATACTTTATTTCCTTCCATAGCTACTTTAGAGCATCTGCTCAAAGATTAACAGTAAAATAGAATGTTATCTGCATACGCTATCTGCGCTACTATATACCCTGCATCAAAAAGAAGTTTTTGTTAGTTCAATAATATAGGAAGGCCCGGCGTTCCGTAATCCGAAGGTCAAGATTTTCGCCCAGAAAAGCAACTTAATACTCCATCCCGGCGCCAAGGTGAACAAATTTTTTAACTAAAGCATATAGCAATAGCATACTGCTCATATAGAAACAGCGGTTCGAAAGTCTCAAAAATGCGCACAATCTTTTTGCAAAGCATATAGCTGTGCAGTCGCCCATATAGAAACGACAATCCGAAACGCACGCACGGGGGAGTTTATACTCACCATCATAACAAAAAAATCAATCCACATCATCTTCGAGACATCTAATTGTGACACAATTTATGCCTCCTGCCTACAATAACCCAAGCAAGACTTCTCCAGACACATTATCAAATGTTTCGGCATAAAATGTAACATGCATGCATCTATTGACTGTCGTGTCTGGAAAAATCTAATTTGCTTGTCCTGCCTGTCTCAACTTAATTAGTGATTAATAAGGTTGCATCTACACACAATTTACTTGCGAATTTGCATGCAATTTTTAGTTGAGAAAAATTTTAAGTTATTTGAGTGTAGATGCACCTATTTATGTTATCTCAGTTATGTGACCACCCAATTAAACTACTCAAACCTCTTTCAGCCTCTGGCAAACGATGTTCCATTTAACGATGTTCGACTGAACCAAAGTGATCTTGACCAAACATCAAACTTTCTCTTGTGATATATATAGTCTACACAAATATGTTCCATTTAACGATGTTCGACTGAACCAAAGTGATCTTGACCAAACATCAAACTTTCTCTTGTGATATATATAGTCTACACAAATATGTTCCATTTAACGATGTTCGACTGAACCAAAGTGATCTTGACCAAACATCAAACTTTCTCTTGTGATATATATAGTCTACACAAATATGTTCCATTTAACGATGTTCGACTGAACCAAAGTGATCTTGACCAAACATCAAACTTTCTCTTGTCATATATATAGTCTACACAAATTTCATATAAGCCTTAATTAGATGCAAGTGCTATATAATTATGTTCCATTTCACGTTCAGTATTACGTTATATTACTACACTTTTTACGTAAAAACAGTACAAATTTAAAATTTGAATCTATAAGACAACCAAGTTCAAATTCATTGTTTTAACAATCTGTTTTCACACGGTTTGTTGATACCCGCGATGCGCGCATGTAATTAAACGCTACGCAATATAATTCAAGTCAAACATTCCTGCACATGCAAATATTATGAGCATAGAATCACCCCATCAAAACAACTGGCGCCTCATATCGCAATTACAATGTTGCATTGTAAGTAAATGCCATAATGCCGTCTACTTACGTTCTTTATATAAAGATTCTCTGCTGCATCCCATCCAATAGTCCATGTGAATTCCTCGATATGCATAAAAAATATAAAACCAACGTCAGATTTCAAAGGTCCACCCAAATAATAAGAAATGGTGATTTAAGAAAGACTAATTAGATATTTGCTCGTGGTTTATTTTAATCAATATTTTTATATACAGTATCTCGTGTTACGAAAATCTTGATCGCAATTATCGCGCGCAAATTATGAAATTGAATAGCTATTTGACAACTGCATGTGGAACCAAGTATAAATACAATAGATGTCGCGTGTAACTATATATGGTAGATTCCGAGACCGAGATCAAGATTAGGAATTGAATAGACCTTTCCCCTTTTAGCAGCACGCGCGCAATGCATGACGGTAGTTGATTATCAAAATTCATTTTAGTTGTCATGGCGCAGTGTTCGGAAGTGATTTTGTTTCAAAGGGAATCTTGCCGATTTTCAGCTTTTTTATTTCAACGAAAAGTATAACGCTTGTATCTTGAGACAATTATAGCTCCAAGCGATATGTACAGGGAAAAATAGAAGGGATCAGGGGTGGTTTTAACGAAAAAAACGGCTTTCCGAACACCAAGTGTGAACAGTTTATTCGGCGAAAATGGCCTTCGAACACGGTTCCATGTCACTTTTAAGCGGTGAGTCTTTGTATTATGTAGCGATCGGATAATTATTTTGATATGTACACAATCTCATTTATGTTATATTTACGCATGACCATTTTTGAATCCGTTCACACATTTTCTTCGCTATTTATTGTTGACTGAATCATGGCATGTGCCTTCGATTTTCGGCTATTATTTCGTTCATATATAACCTTGCTTCGGGTCGTTTGGCTTTGTCTGTTTTGGCGCGAAAAAACAAACATTTGTGACCGGTGTAGCAGTTTTAGTCAACAGCTGTGATATTT